TCATTGAAGTCCTTGAAGTAAGTTGGTTTTCTTGAGGAGACTATTACGAAACGCAGGAGATAGTAAAACGCAGTTAATATACGAGTATGGTCAACAGGTTGGGGGAATGATCGCAGCATTATTGTTGAGACACCGTCCTCAATAGCTTGTATACCCACAAACATATATATGTACCTATCTATGTACGGCATATGGTCTACACAAGTTTACTTGGGTAGCTTCTGCATACTATACAAGCCATCCCAATCTACACCTACCGATCGGTCAAACGCAATTGGTTAGTCGAAAATTGGGCCTGTTTGTTCGTTCGTCTTTGAGTCTTCTAGAGTCTTCTAAAAAATTGTTTGTCTAGAAAAATGACCTTTACAGTGTCGCTCTGCGTTTGACCGATCGGTAGCTGAAGATTGGGATGGCTTGTACAATATTCAGAAGCTACCCAAGTAAACTTGTGTAGACCATATGCCGTACATGGATAGGTATATATATATGTTTGTGGGTATACAAGCTTATTTATTGAATTAATAAAGCCGAAAGCGTAAATCCAATGACTAAGTCATGGCAATAAAATCACCGCATTTGCGACTTTTATAATATTTTTATTTGTTTTAGTTAAGAAAATTATTTTTGTTAAGCAAATATGTATGTGTATACGTAGGTACATAAGTATGTACATTTGTGAGCATGTAAATTTACAATAAATGTGCATAAATAAAACAAGAGGGCATTAAATTTAAAAATGAAATATCAATAAGTAATGTAAGTTTGCATGTACATATGTGTGTGTGTGTGTGTGTGTGTGTGTGTGTGTGTATAAACATCTGAAATAAGTTGCCAATGAAAATCATTAAATTTTCAGCAAAAACGAAATCAGCAATTTTATTTTTTGTTATTTTTTGTTTTGTTGTTTATGATTTGAATTTTTTGTATTTTTTTTTTGTTTTTTTTTTCTTGCACAAGTGCATTTGCACACGCACACACACACTCAGCTGCCGTAAATCCATGGTGAGCTCCCAAGTGAATTTATGAAAATAATAATGTACTTACGCAAATAGTTATAATGTAATGACGGTCATAAACAATGAATAAAAACAAAAACACACACACACACACAAATAAAGAGAACAACAAAAACAATTAAAAATTAAATACGAAAAGTTGGTTTGTATTTATTGCTGCGAAATTAATGCGAATAAGTGAACTCATTACTCAGCGTTGCGTTAGTTATTGCACATTGGCGTTGTATTTGTAAAGTGATTTTGCAAAAAAATACAGAAAAAAACAGCAAAAAAGAGAGTGTGAAAATTATTTGCCATGTCTAGCTGTTTTTTGTCAGAGTTGAAATTTTGTTTTTGTTATTTTTTTCAAACTTAAAATTTTCTGCCAAGATACAAATGTATGTATGTCTGCTACATATTATATAATATATATTTTATTAACGCTCTCTGCTAGATTCGTAAAAGCGTTCTTGTGTTGTAATTTTTTTGTGTATCTTAACAAGTGATTCCAACGTCAACCCAAATCAATGTCAGCAATTTGTGACAATTTGGTAGCGTAAATTGCATTATAAACTGGTTTTAGATTGAAAACCTGTCGGTTACTTACAAAGGGTCTGCATGTAATGTGTGAATGTGCATTTGGCAAGGTAAGTTAATTAGGAGATACAAAGTTTCGATATAAAATTTATTTCGCTTTATGTTTAATGATGAAGAAATTTTTCATCTCACTGCTGCTGTCTCTTACGCCAAGAACTCCTACTCAATTCAAGGCCAAAAGTTAATTAAAAATGCAAAGGAATATGTTTGTTAGGATAACAGTTTCGAAAAGCAACTTCACTACTGCCTATGTTACATTGAAGCTTCGAAAGTTTGAAGGCAACATGAACTTTTGGCATTTTATGCACAGTTTGAATTTTCCAAAAATCTACATTTGAAGACAGCTCATAAGCTTTTTTGGGTATAAACTTGAAATTTAAAAAATTATTTAATTAAATTAAAACTTCTTCTAAAACTTTAAACTTGCTTTTCTCAAAACGGTGTCTTCAAAGTCGGTGAACGCGTTGTCTCAAAAGGCGCTTAACACTTATCCTGCGATTGGGCAATATTATGCACAAAAGCCTGCCTTCCGTTGTTCTAGTGAATATGAATTTTTGAAGATTTGAATAACAGTGTTGAAATTTAAGAAAATAGATATTTTTATTCATAATATGGAAGCAATAATGCTTTCGGAAGAATTTAAAAATTTCTCAACGATCATTACCAAAATTGGAAATTTTCAAAAAATTCTGAAAAAAATTTCCACTCATATTTTCTTAAAATGAAAGCCAAAATTGCATTTATAAATAACAAATGGAAGTTTATTAACAATTCCGCAGTAAAGAGAAATAAAATAATTATTTTCACATATCCAGTAGAATATCGATTACGTTTTTAGATCGGCTAAAGTAAGCTGGCATCATTACTTTTGCCGCTGATATTTGTTTCTTAGATTTTACGGGTGTGTTTGTTCCAGTTGGTACCCATACCATGGATTGCTGCTTGGCTTCTGGATTCTACTTATAGCACCGAGATTCGTTAACAGTAACGACTTCACTAAAGTTACTAGACTGAACCTTTTCGAATTTGTTTAGGAAAAAATTGAGTAAAATGCACTCACACTAGAGCCTCTCTCTGGGCCTCATTTAAAATACGTGGTACACATTGAGCAGATTTTTTCGTGTAAATAAAAAATATTCGCGATAAAGCCATAATGTTCTAGTCCAATCGTGGGTCTTTGTCAATTTTGGACTTCACCAAAGTTACAGTGACGTCATCAGTGGAAGATTTTGGTCGAAATTCTCGGGGCTCGTCCGCTACGGAAAAATGTTCAATCTGGAATCTTCGGAACAACTTAGGAATAGTCTTAAAAGACGTTACAATCGTTCAATTTGCAATTTGGTATTCACATGAGTATTTGCATTGGCTGTGAATTACGCCGAAACCCGAAAGGAATTGCACGACGGATTTCTATTTGCGTTGGTAGTGGAACTTCATCTGACCTATCCTCAGTTATCTTATCGTTATATTTCAGCCGATCGCTCTAAAGTTTGAGAGGCAAGCTAATAAAGTAATTGCAAAGGATTTGGTATTTTTATATTTAACAAATCACAGACTGACCGAACTTTTTTTTATCGCCTCGTATATTGTTCTAGGTTATCAATTTTACGGTTGCATTTAAAATAACTTTTTTTCATGAAATTTCTTTTTGGCACTTATTAAACAGTATCTCAGCAATAACTTCACGAATGTTGATACGGAAGTGCTAAAGAGTGAAAGTTTTATCCGCATAAAAGCGGTCTCTTTCACGTAGCTCCCCTAAAATATTTCCAATGGTGTCAAATCGCCTGATTTCGGTTGTTAATTGACATCGCCAAGACGAGAAACTACGCGACCAGGAAAATTTCTCTCGCAATAAAGCCATATTCACTCGAGTTTGGTGACAGGTGATACTATTGTATGTTGTTGAAACGACATATTTTACAAGTCGTGTTCGTCAATTGCAGGCCGACGATTATCATACGACTAAGAGTATAATGCTACGAATTGACAGTGAGAGTCTCAGCGTTGTAGGTTTCAAAGAAGTAACATCCAATCAAAACTCCGTACCAAAGAGCCTATCAGGGAGTAAGCGTTTTTTTTTTTAGATGTAAAGGCTTTTATGCAGGATTCTTTGATTATTTGGATACTCGGAGCATTAAATGAGAGTGGGAAATTTGCCTTCTCGCTGAAGAAAATTTTATTCGAAAAATCGCCGTCTAATTTCCGTTGCTCAAGATCCCAATCGATGTATGCACTGCGGTATTTATCTGTGAACCGAGAAAAGATCTTGACAGTTAACACCGCTGAAGTAACTTTTGGCCGAGCTCCACATTCAATTTGTAGTGGGCAACTTTATCAACCTGAGGAGCCTTTATTTCATGACAGAAATACACTCGGAGGGCGACAACATTTAGAAAAATGTATTGAATTTTGTATTTAAATTAATTTTCTATAACTTTTTTGATGCTGCTCGAGCCTGGACTCTGACACTGGCCTGGTGGTAGTATGAAATTCTAACCACTCGACCAGCCGCTGAAACTCAGTAATAGCATACTGGTATATTCGCTCCTTCACGGTACGAGGCCAATTGGAAGAGCTAAGGACTTCCTGCATGAGTGTTAAAATAAATGTTGATGAAAATGATGGTCTCAACTCTTTACTAAGAGTTCTATGTAGCTTTAAAATTTCATTAATCGATTGGTATGGTAAGTGCGTAGGGAGCATTTTCTATTTTTTCCTAAAGATGAGAGATCTTTTATTTTATTATCCTTTTCGTAGAAATTGAAAAGAAGCAAATATGTGTAGAAAATGTTTGAAGGAAACTAATCAATTCTCGAGAAAAAGTGCTTAGCATCCAATTAGACAATTCCTTTGTTTTTCTCTGTGTTGAAAGCTCTTACCAAATTTCTAAGTCAAGCCATACATACATACTTGTATGAGTGCATCCTGCTTACTAAACTTCAAAGTAATGCCTTGAGCACTTAAACTTTTAAATTTTCTTTTTATCTGACCTTTCACATTCCATTTGAATTTCTTATTGTTTTTTCTTTTTATTCAGCTTCTGCAAAGTCTCAGTTTTTATTTTGTTTCCAACAAGATTGAGATATATATAAACGTATTTGAAATGAGTTCTGTGACAAATTATTATTTTTTGTTCTTTTTTTTTGAAGAAATTTATTTTTTAGAAAATAATCTCTTTTTCTATTGATATACAATTATTTCTAGAAATAAATCATTACCACTAAAGAAATCTATATTCGTTTTTCCCCTTCAAATTTTAACTGGCACCGCGCAATTAAAGCTCGAGAATTTTTCATTCGTGGTGAGTTATTAAATTTTTCTGTTGTAATATATATCATAACATAAGAATATGTGTATATATATATACCAAAGTTGTTCAATACATAAATATACAGAAACGCTTACCGATGAGTTCTCATCGCAATTGAGCATTCCATAGAAATCTTCGTCGGGACTTCGTTTGAAACTCAATACCGCATCGACTGCACTCATGTTGTTGCTGCTGTTGTGGTTTTATAGTCAGTTTTTTATCTAAACTTTTACGTTACCAACTCTGTTAATCAACACAACAAACACTGATCAAGGCAATGAAATTAAAGAAATATAAAGAAATTATAATTTTGTTAATATTCGATGAGATGAGAATATAATGGCAAAATGTGTGAAGAGAATTGTCCAGGATTTATTAAATTGGAAATGGTCAATATATTTTGGTTGTGTTCGCAATAAATCTATAAAGTTCTACTTTTTATAGTTTTAGGAACCGGAAAATTTCCAGATCGTTTTCGTAATTCTTTTTTGTAGAATCCAATAAAATAATACAAAATAAATGAAAATAATAAGAACAAAATTAGTAAATATTATATAACACAATAAAAAAATTAAATAATATTAAATACAAAAATTTAAAGCTAAACCAGTAAAATAAAATAATTTAATTTAAAATTAATTAATATCAACAAAAATAAAGTTAAGTAAGAAAAAAAATTAAAATTAATAAGATAAAGTAAACGAAAAATTCTGACCAAAATAAAGTTGAAAAAATAAAATCAAATAAGCCAAATAAAATAAAATTAAATGAAATAAAAAAAATTAAGCAGAAAAAAAAATTGTTATTAATAAAATAAAATGAAATAAAATAAAATAAAATAATATCAAATAAAATAAAATAAAATAAAATAAAATAAAATGTAAAAAATAATATAAAATTTTGTAAAAAAAATTAATTAAAGTCAACTGAATTAACATAATAAAGTAATAAAAATGTAAAATAAAAAAAATAAATTTAATTAAAAAAAAAGAACAGAAAAGTAAAGTAGGATAAAAGAAATATACTGAAATAGAAGACCAGAACTATTTAATGAAATAATAGTAAGACATATGATCAAATAAAAGGCCTTAATTTCAAAACCAAATAATATAAAGGTAATGAAAACAAAATTAAAACAATCTGAAACAAAATAAATTAAAATAAAAAATTAAAATAGTAATAATAATAATAATAATATAAGATATCATGAAGGAAATTAAAAATAAAATAATGTTAATTGAATTTACGTTAATTATATAATTTAACATAAAATAAAATTATGATAAATCTTATAATAAATTAATTTATGTCTCATCTCTTTAGAATTCTTAGTTGCTTTTCAAAACTTGTTTCGTTTTTTCTGCCTAATACTTTCTGAGCACCCCTCATTTATTTCAAAATCCAAGCTCCAAACTTGTGATACGAAGATGCTAAGCCAACCAAAACTTATGATCACTAAAACAATTTTTTATTTAATTTTTTTTTTTAATTTCTATTTTTTCAATTTCTCTTAGATAAGCCGCGTATGCAAATTCAATTGTGTTTCGTTTATAAATAAACTCATATACATATGTCATATTTGTTTTCGAAATATTTACTTTCTACAAACACATGTGCGCGCGCTTGAGCTGATGGAAGATAAACCAATTCAAAATAAATACAATATTATGTTAAAAACGTATTGTTTACAACTCAAGTGGAGAGGTCAAAAGTGAAAAAATTTTCTTAAGTAGCTAATAAGTCAGCAGAAAATACATACAATACACTTGACCTTCGACTTAAGAATAGCAATTTTGTTAAGTTATTGACAAACAATAACAGTAATTTTGTTAGGTATCGTTCAAAATTGGCCATTGTTTGTTCTGTGTGTTATTTACGGTAATAAATCTGCGTTGGCAAAAAAGACAACAAAAACATAACGCAGAAGTAATAAAACAATAAAAAAAAAACATTAACAAAACAGCAACCAGTATTACTCACAGCCGTCACTTTCACTTCTCGACACACGTTGCAACGCTAACAAACGCCGCGTTTTGTTTATATGTATGTATATACCAAAAATTATATATATGAATTTGTATTTAATTTAGGCGCACGAATTTATTAACGCTTTTTATTAACCGAAAACCACAAAAAATCGCTTGAAACACGACACTTGATGGGTTTTTTTTTAACTTTTCTTTCTTAAATTAATGAATAATAAATTTAAAAAAATATATATGTATATTATGTATTTTTTTTTTAAATATTCCTTCTATATATGATATTTTTCCCCCGTTTAATATTGCCACACGCGTGCCGAGTTGTTACTAACAGCACGTCGATTTAGTAACTGCCACAGTCGCTCAACGCTTTGCTCAGCTACTCGGCTACTCAGCTGCTGCTGCTGCGGCTGCTGTTGGGGATTCGCCCTAACCTTCGCAAGCGCACTCGAAATTCATATTTGTTGTTGTCTTGCTCTTGGCACCGGTAATGCTAATCTGGTTCAACTCGTTCGAAATGGCATTGTGTTGGAGTCGGCCACTGGAAGGCAAGAAAAAGCCCCAAACAGCTTTGCTTTGCGCCACAGCTGAGTAGAGCGGATTGAAGTGTTCTCTGCTTGAAATTGAAAGTTGCTTTGGCAGTGAAGCTTTGGTTTTCAGCCTACTGTTTTGTTGTTGCGTTTATATGAGTTACACAGTGCTCAGCTGAGCCAAGTTATCTCACATTAAGCGATTACAGCTGATAAGCGTGCTTTGGTGTTTACTAAATAATAAAGATTCGAAATTAATACTTATGTTGAAGAGAGAATTCACTCAATATTCAGCGGTTGATTAAAAGATGTTGTGTTTTGAAATAGAGCTATATCACTTGATATGCCTATGTAGCTGGAGTATTGAGTCGGAGTTGCTTCTCGTACTGTTTCGTGGTCTCACTTGCTTAGAATTTACTTACCAACTCTCTATGGAATGGATAGTTGGGAGAACCCCATGAAAGTTGACTCAAATGTGATTCACTTTAAATAAAACAAAGTTTTATTCCTACGGTGGTACAAATGATTTGCTTTGCCACTTTGTAACCGCCGCATCGATTATTGGCCGAGCTCCTCTTTCGAGGTTTTTCCAACTAATGGAGGGATTTAAAGTTTACTCGAAGCCGCCGCCGAACGGCCGATAGCTTTTTTTATGAGGAGCTTTTATTTCATGTCAAAAATACACTCGGAGGGGTTGACATTCCCTGCCGAGGGGCGCCCCCTGTTAGAAAATTTAGTTTTAATTTTTAATTTAAATTATTTTCTATTAATTTTGGATGTTAGTCCGACACCCGAGCCTTTCGAATGACAGTACGCAATGCTACCGCGGTCACCATGCTTTAATGAGAGTAACGCCACTAATGTTTAAATTAATATAATGTGTATATGTTCAGATTGCTTATCTTTTTAAATAAGTTTCCAACATTTTCCTCACTTTGGTTTTACTTATAAACAAAGAAGTATCTTATTTTCTGATACAAGAAGTTACTGAGCCGAGTTTAATTTCTCTTTGTAGCTTTATAATTTTATTTATTTATAAATCATCACCTCCGGTACGAATCCGCCAATTTATTAACCCATTACATTTTTCTTACCCTTTCTCTCTATCTCTTTCGGTTTAAGAATTTATCGCATAAGACTCTACCCGCGTCAACTTCATCAAGTTTGAAACCATCCAAATTATTTGTCGTTAGAGATGAAATTTGCGTCAAGCAGAAGAGTGTTTCCCGTTCTTATATGGGCTAAAAGGTGGTAAATTCCAGTACTTGAGTATTAAAGTCGCTTCTTTCTCATAAGGTCTTCGATTGATATAAATATGTTTAAAGACTTATTATAAGGTATATTCGACCACTGTGGATATTCGAAGAAGGAATTTGAAATTCGTATTCGGCCTACAAACTTTACAGGTCTAAACTTAAAATGAATTGCATGGATATTCGATGTCAAAGTGTCTTTGTCAAAGTGTCTTTGTATATACGTGTGTAAAATAGCAAATCTCCCGCTCTTCGACGCTTTCTTTGCGTATTTTTGTCCGAAAATTAATGCATACGTCCCTAGACAGGAAACGTCAACCTTACCTAATAAAAGTCCATCAGCCGTACGGGGGCGGTTTTTTCCATATGCTTGAAGATCATCAAGACTCACAAAAGAACACAGAATAGGAGCTTGGCAAAAAACACATCTTCAAAAAAATAAAAAATAAATACAAATACATTTGAATACTATAATTTTTTCTTTACGTATCTAGCTTTATTCGAATGGTTCTAGTAGGCTTTTTGTGCAATATTAAGCTCTTGGGCTGTCGAACCAGCACTCACATGATGGTCGGACTCGACAATGTCCATGATTGTATCGACATTTTTGACTATTGGCCTTCCAGTGCATCTTTTATACCAAAAGTTCCAGAATGAAACCGAAATTATGCATGATTGATTGTAACAGTATCAGGAACATAAACACTATTCGCATTTTCAGCGTTTTCGTCTTTCCCGAATTAAAATGTAGCCGATTTTCGCTTTGATAGTGCCCATCTTTGACTTTCCCTCAAACAAAACCGATGCAACCAATCACGAAACTGCCCAGGTAGCTTTTTAAGTATGAAATGCCATCTTTCTAACATGATCTAGCGTAGCCCAATGGGACTTATATTGTACAATGTGAGATACAGATAAATAACGTCATCTATTGGAAAAATAATGAGTTACTTCTTTCTACACTTAATACGTTCTCTTCAGTTTGAAATCAAATAAAAGTTCAAATGTATAGCGCCATCATGGCTCCTGGAAGACGAATGCTTTCTCTGGATCAACCTGTAGTCTTGCTCAAGATTTTTTACTTGGAAAGTTTTATATGTGGAAGTTGGGAATATTTTCCTTCTCCTCCACTTCTTAGCAGTTTCTTCTTCTTTACAGGCGTTGGCACCGCTTACTCGATTATATTTCTCGTTTTTCGCTGTTTGGCGCCGGTTGGAAATACCAAGTAAAACCTGATCACTCTCCAGCTGCAACTTCTAGATACATAAACCACAAATCAGACAAATCGATTGTATGGGAGTTATTTGATATAGTCGACCGATCTGGCAACATAGTTCGTCACTCTACAAACTACGGACCAAAGTAAATAATGTTATTGTCAACGACACCGATCACTTTCTTAAAGAAGCAAAGATGCGCACCGCCTCTAAACAGCAAACAACGCTCGTTCACAAACACAAGAAAATTTCGACGCCGAAAAGCTGCAATTACAACAGCCTACCGAACGATTTTATGCACGACTTGTACCCCTGTTCTCTGAGAGCACTCATCATCAACTCTTTATAAGGCAACTACGGAATGAAATTTTAAACTCCCTACGTACAGCTGGAAACGAAACTATTGGATTTCAAAAAGTTCGCAAAAACAGCTGGTACAATGAGGACTGCCTCGTCGCAGTGGAGAGAAAACAGACTGCCTACCTCAAAACGTTGTGCTCGATCACAACACGTGCGGAGCTGGAAATGCTAGCCAATACGGGTAGAGCTCGAAAATTCTACAAAAAGAAGCAGTGATTTACCGAAGGCTTCAACACCAAATCAAACTCTTATAGGACTTAAAAGGGTGAGCTAGTGACTGATGTCCAAAGTATACTTCTTTTTTAGTCACTTTAAGAATATATTGCATATTTTGAAAACTGGACACTGTACACTTTCTCGTACACATTCATACATATGTACACATATAACTCTCTGTATACAAATATTCGAATTCAACGTTCGAAAAAGCACACCACATTTTCCAAGAAGCTTTCGAACTGAATCTCTCTCATTGCTTTAGCTAAAGCTTTTCGTGTAAGCTTTTCGGATATGTAAGTACGTTAGAACATTACACATACAAAAAACTTTGAAAAAACTAAAATTAGTTTGTACGTGTTTCCACAAAGCTCAACTGTTAAAAAGCCACTTTCTAACATCAAAGCTTTGAAAATTCATAAAATAAGTGCTGCCAGTCAGTTAAAAAAAAGTACCAAAAAAGTTTTAGTTTAAACTTTTAATATTTTTCTACACTTCAGACGAAGGAACCATCTGATGGATGTGGAATTTGATGTTATCGGAATTACCTAATCATGTGCCGAAATCCTATGTAAATTAGGGTATTGGTAACCGGTCGTTTTCAAAGTATTAACGAATAGGGTGCTCTGTTTTTCGATTTATCGATTATATAGCACCAGCGGTGACATTTCTCGAACTTATCGAACGCCATTCCCACATTCGCTCAGGTAATATCCTTCATGTAAGAACTTCAGAGTGGGATTTCAGAATTGGATGACAGTGCTCACGTATATGAAATGCATGTGAAGACTCGATTACGTATAATAAGGGTTTATGTTTTGCTCAATTCTCAGTAAGTTTTCTTACCCTTGGACCCAATGAACTATAGTCAACGGTCAGGCATTTTATTGTGTGGTATATGGTAGTCTCCTTATCGAATTCTGGGAAGCCAGTCAACATAGGTGAACCAAATTAGTCGATAGCTCTCCTTCTTCCAGTAGCGAAAATATGTGAGGCCTTGCTACTCCCGTCTTTTACCGAGTGGCTGCTGGACTCGTCACTATGGCTTCCGCAATCTTAGATCTGTCAATCTGCCGATGTGGCTGAAGAGGTGAACCGTGTACATCACGTAGGTGGTAGACAGCGGGTAGAACTACAAGGCTAAAACTCAAAACAACAATAAATAAATTTAGCTCCCCCCCCCCCCCACTATTGAGTTTACATACATCGAAGCTCCCTCTACCAGCAGAGGTTGTTTTCCTGATATCATATGCTGGCGACTTACTTACTTCTACTTTTATATTTAATGCCAGTAATACATTCGGAGGGCTTAAAACTATCTGCCGAGGGGCGATCCTAATAAGAAAAATTAATTTTCTATGATTTTGGATGTTGGTCGAAACGCCGTCCTTCCGAATGACAGTATTCAATGCGAACCTCTCGGCTACAGCGGCGATCGCATCGCAACTACAAACGGCAAAGCCCTTGGCTTCCCTCTACACCACCTGGATGAAGGTAACCGGTGCGAACTGAATGGCAATGTCGAAGGCATAAGAATTCCGACAAGAAGGAATTCCGAGAGGCTAGCGAGACGTATATGAAGAAGCTGCAAGCTTGTCAGAGCACCGCCGGGAGGACGGGAAATCTACTGATGTCACCTATGCACCATTTACAACGTAACACATCTAAGCTTTCAGTTAAGGATGATCATGCTGCGTGAGCTATTCTGCTTTGGTGCTACCGTAGGAATCATCCTAGCAGACATCTACAGCGAGCCCTATCATCAACCAGATCTGCCAAGCATCTAGCTTAGGGAACTGGATATACCGCCATAGTGCAAAAACGCTGGACAGGACGACAAGGCAACAGACTCTAAATGCCATTAGCAGTGAGCTCGTCAACAACCTTATAAA